CCTTAAACAAATAGATTTGTTTGGTGACTAATCGATTTGTCCGGCATAGGTCCCCTTTTGATAAATTTTTAGACTGGTTAAAAAAAATAAATCAAGAGTGGTTCTATGCCTGACTGATCGATTTTGTTTGACAATGAATGCACATGTCTTATGAAAACACATGGTTTATAAATTATGATTGTTATGTGGTTTCTTCAAACCGAGCACCGAGTTATGATCCTCTCACTTTATTAAATGCGGGGAACCTGCAAGCGAAGTCTCCATGGTAGAAACTGTTAGGGACGTGTGGAAGTTTTATAGATATTGAATGTAGTGTCTTGCTAAAAATGAAAACTACAAAATTGAGTCATTTACAAAATAATAGTCTTTGCAATATTACTTTTCTTGTTTCTCATTGTTGAGGTGATGTATCATATTGTATGAAAGGGACATGTTTTAAAGCTTTATCCTTCTTCATACTGCGTTCTCCTGTCTCAATTAATGAGAAGCCATTATTTGTTTTCTCACTAATAACTAATAAATGCAGCATATCGCCTCCGGAAATCAGGAAGAGGTAGAAAAATTACTGAGCCACGGTGACAATGACGAAGATATTGCGCAGAAAATGTGCCATCCGCTCTGTTCCTGTGACAACTGCGAGAAGCTGGTTTCAGGGTACGTGTGATCCTTTCTGGCAATGCCAGCTTAGTGCCCCCTTGATTTCCCTGTGTCACAAATTATATTATCACTTCCTCTTCTGAAATGAGTTCTAAATGACTGTCTGGAAAAATACTTTCACTATTGTTTTAGTCTCTGATTTTATATCCTTTTAGCATTATCCTCTGCTTGTAATCTGGTATGTCGGTGGAAAGTTGATCTCAGAAGACAGATGATCTGCCTTTTGAGATTTGTCTTGAGACTGATAAAAACTAAACTGATTATCTGAAAGTCACTGCCCCCCCGACTTGTATATAGGCAACAGACTATAATATAGTTCAATGTAGTATGGTTTGTTTGGTTTTTTTTGATTGTGTGTTTAGCACTTCAATCATATTGTGTGTTAAGTTAACAATGTCATCTCATCTCTTTCTTTTCAGCAAGCTAAACGATTCTTCGGTGGTCACACCATTTTCCAGAGATGACAGAGGCTATACACCACTTCACATCGCAGCAATTTGCGGTAAGGACAACTATAACAGTAACACAATATGAATGACACAACTCAAAACAATCTTCAGACCACTGTGTCAGCACGAACATGTCACATTTGAACATTTTTAAGTGGCAGGAAGGGTGAGTTCCCATGTTGAATGCCATCATTAGTTCATATAAAACCAAACAGGGGCATGTCTCTGGAAATGACCGGATGGAACTCTGATAGAATGATAAATAGCTGGGATGGACGGATATGGTGGTTAACCCTAAAAGACTGTTCTTATCCCATTTCATTGTGTTCCTCCTAGGGCAAGCGCACTGTATTGATCTACTAATCTCTAAAGGTGCTGCAGTTAATGCCACTGATTACCATGGGTCAACTCCACTCCATCTTGCATGCCAAAAGGGTCATCAAAAGATCACAGTAAGTTGATATCGGTTCCAATTTCCTTAAATAAGAATAGCTAGATATTATTTATTTTTCTATAAATGAAATACAGTCCTAAAATATAGAGATTTGATGAATGGCCGTATTATTAAGAGTAATTTATTTTAGTAAGCTCCATAGGGCCTCGTTTGATTCTCATAAAGCTCTCAGCCCCAGTCAATACACATGATGGGTCTAATACATCCCATGTCAGTCTTGCTGGGTAATGGTACTGTCCATGGTATGTTGTCCGAGAATTAATCCAGTGTTCTTTGATTCCCTTTAAGCTGCTTTTGTTACACTATAAGGCTTGTAGAGACATACAGGACAATAATGGGAATACTGCACTTCACTTGGCCTGCACATACGGACATGAAGATGTAAGTACCTCCTGAATGCTGAATAATTAATCGTACATTTGCCGTTTTAGTCTCTGATTTTATTGCTTTTGTAAAGTGCCGTTCGGTGTTGCTTCTCTTTGTAGTGTGTGTTGTTATTCTAGCAAATATTTCAGAACATAGAAACAGAAGCCAAAAGCTTAGGGGATTTCTTTATTTCCTTAGGAATGTAGACCGTGCAGATTGTGGAGTTTGACCTTTAACTTGTGTTGTGTTATTTTTTTTTCCTTATGTTATGCTCTGTTTTCTTCAAACAATCTAACAAATGACTTTATGATCCAATAAATTACATTGATATTGGAAGAGTAGGAAAAAAACATTATTTCTGTGTCTCTCTCTCCATATATTATGTTTATTGACCGCAAAGAAGAGATCCTGTAACAATAGCATTAGCCAGACTCTATAGCAGGGCTGCACAACAGGTAGATCCCCAGATGTTGTAGAACTATAACTCCCATGATGCTTTGTCATTCTAAAAGCATTCTAAAGGCATGCAAAGCATCATGGGAGTTGTAGTTCTACATCATCTGGGGATCTACCTGTTGGGAGGCCTGTTCTATAGAATGGAAGGTTCTACACATTTAGCATTAGCCAGGATCTATAGAATGGAATGTCCTACATATTTAGCGTTAGCTAGGATTTATAGAATGGAATGTCCTACACATTTAGTGTTAGCCAGAATCTATAGAATGGAATGTCCTACTCATTTGGTGTTAGCCAGGATCTATAGAATGGAATGTCCTACACCAGGGGTAGGCAACCTTTTAGCAGCACTGTGCCGATATAGGAGTGTGATGTCCCGTAGCGTGCCGATCCTATTTTTTTAAATTGAGGTGTGTATGTTGCCGTATTCTGCTTGTGTTATTTTTACTGTGATTGCTTTGTATTGTTGTATATGTGCGTATAGGAGCTATTATATTGTATATGTTCAGGAGTAGTTTATGGTATCGTGTATGATACATATGAATGTGGGCTGTGTATGGGGGTTGCTTATGGAATTGTGTGTGGATGGATATGTCACATTGTGTGTTTTGGTAGTGTGTGGGGGCTGTTTGGGGTATTACATGTGAGAGGCTGCATGTGAGGTTGTGTGCATGTAGAGTTGCAAGAAAAAGTATGTGAACCCTTTGGAATGATATGGATTTCTGCACAAATTGGTCATAAAATGTGATCTGATCATCATCTAAGTCACAACAATAGACAATCACAGTCTGTTTAAACTAATAACACACAAAGAATGAAATGTTGCCATGTTTTTATTGAACACACCATGTAAACATTCACAGTGCAGGTGGGAAAAGTATGTGAACCCCTAGACTAATGACATCTCCAAGAGCTAATTGGAGTGAGATGTCAGCCAACGGGAGTCCAATCAATAAGATGAGATTGGAGGTGTTGGTTACTGCTGCCCTGCCCTATAAAAAACACACACCAGTTCTGGGTTTGCTTTTCACAAGAAGCATTGCCTGATTTGAATGATGCCTTGCACAAAAGAGCTCTCAGAAGACCTACGATTAAGAATTGTTGACTTGCATAAAGCTGGAAAGGGTTATAAAAGTATCTCCAAAAGCCTTGCTGTTAATCAGTCCACGGTAAGACAAATTGTCTATAAATGGAGAAAGTTCAGCACTGCTGCTACTCTCCCTAGGAGTGGCCGTCCTGTAAAGATGACTGCAAGAGCACAGCGCAGACTGCTCAATGAGGTGAAGAAGAATCCTAGAGTGTCAGCTAAAGACTTACAAAAGTCACTGGCAAATGCTAACATCCCTGTTGGCGAATCTACAATACGTAAAACACTAAACAAGAATGGATTTCATGGGAGGATACCACAGAGGAAGCCACTGCTGTCCAACAAAACATTGCTGCACGTTTACAGTTTGCACAAGCGCACCTGGATGTTCCACAACAGTACTGGCAAAATATTCTGTGGACAGATGAAACCAAAGTTGAGTTGTTTGGAAGAAACACACAACACTACGTGTGGCGAAAAAAAGGCACAGCACACCAACATAAAAACCTCATCCCAACTGTGAAGTATGGTGGTGGGGGCATGATGGTTTGGGGCTGCTTTGCTGCGTCAGGGCCTGGACGGATTGCTATCATCGAAGGAAAAATGAATTCCCAAGTTGCAACAGGACAATGACCCAAAGCATAGAAGTAAATCAACAACAGAATGGCTTAAACAGAAGAAAATACTCCTTCTGAAGTGGCCCAGTCAGAGTCCTGACCTCAACCCGATTGAGATGCTGTGGCATGACCTCAAGAAAGCGATTCACACCAGACATCCCAAGAATATTGCTTAACTGAAACAGTTCTGTAAAGAGGAATGGTTAAGAATTACTCCTGACCGTTATGCACGTCTGATCTGCAGGAAACGTTTGGTTGAAGTTATTGCTGCCAAAGGAGGTTCAACCAGTTATTAAATCCAAGGGTTCACATACATTTTCCACCCGCACTTTGAATGTCTACATGTTGTGTTCAATAAAAACATGGCAACATTTCATTCTTTGTGTGTTATTAGTTTAAGCAGACTGTGATTGTCTATTATTGTGACTTACATGATGATCAGATCACATTTTATGACCAATTTGTGCAGAAATCCATATCATTCCAAAGGGTTCACATACTTTTTCTTGCAACTGTATGTGGATTGTTAGCGGGTTACGTTTGTGCGGATTGTTTGTATGTTTGTTTGTGGGCTGTTCGTATTATTTGTATGAGGGGAGGGTTATTCTTCATTTCTGTGTATATCTAGCAGTGTGGGTGGCTTCCCTGGGTTCCCTGGTACAGGTCAAGGACAGGTGCTGCAACAGCAGCTGCAGGCTGCTCTACTACGGATCCGAGATCACTTCCTCTACGTGCTGCAATGCATAAATTAAGGATTGTCCTTCACCATCTTTTCGTATTAGCAGATATCTGAAGTTTCACTGGGACTCCTGAAAGGCCAGAGCCTGTTTGGCTCTAGCAGCCTTGAGTGCCGTGCAAAGACTCCTTGAGTGCCGTGCATTGCACTAGTGCCGTAGGTTGCCTACCTCTGTCGTACACATTTGGTGTTAGCCAGGATCTATAGAATGTATCATCCTACTCATTTAGTGTTAGCAAGGGTCTGTAGCATGGAATGTCCTACTCAATTGGTGTTAGCCAGGATCTATAGAATGGAATGTCCTACTCATTTAGTGTTAGCCAGGATCTATAGAATGAAATGTCCTACTCATTTAGTGTTAGCCAGGATCTATAGAATGGAATGTCCTACTCATTTAGTGTTAGCCAGGATCTGTAGAATGGAATGTCCTACTCATTTAGTGTTAGCCAGGATCTATAGAATGGATCATCCTACTCATTTAGTGTTAGCCAGGGTCTGTAGCATGGAATGTCCTACTTATTCGGTGTTAGCCAGACTCTATAGAATGGAATGCTCTATAGGTTTGGTAGAATGGAGTGTCCTACTCATTTAAAGTTGGCAGGACATTATTGACTTTCCTGTTCATTTAAGATTCATTGGATGTAAAGAGCTGCTGCTGATAATTGGCACAGGTTATTAGATCCCCTGATCTGTGATGTCATTGATTACCACTGATCCAAAGGTGCCAATATATCTGTTTTAGTACACATTTTGAAAAGGAAAAGGCATATATTGCATTTATATACACATTACTGCAGCTTTTATTGTCTGGGATAAGTGATGGGTGTTTGCTCACAGTGGGTCCAAGTGTGTTTTATTTGTAACCTTTATTCTTCCAGTGTGTGAAGGCTTTAGTCTATTACGATGTACACTCTTGTAGAATTGACTCTGGTAATGAAAAAGGAGACACTCCCCTCCACATAGCTGCTCGTTGGGGCTATCAAGGGATTATCGATGTGCTCTTACAAAATGGCTCCAGTACGGACATACTGAACAGGAGGAAGGAGACGCCCTTACAGTGTGCTTTAAACTCCAAGGTAATTAGCAGGATTTTCCCAGGTCACTTGGGTATTGGAATATGAGTTTCAATGTCCAGATTGGTGATAACACATGCCAATGATCCAGACACACCACATTTTGACAATGATCTGCATAGGTTATTGTTTCATTTGGTGTAACTCTAAATAAAACAAATCTTGAAACTCGTGTCAGCCATAAAGGACCAAGTTTGAGACAGTTTTGCTAAAAATGACTCTTTTCATCTACAGAAAAGTACATGACACACCTCACTTATATTTTTCTGGCAAAATTCGCACTAAATGTATTGGTTGAAGCTATGTTTAAATGAAGTTATGTTTGTCTCCTCCAATATGGCCTCCATACACGGTTGCAATTATCTGCACCTGATGAGCACAATATCCCAAAATGTTTCTTCTTCTGGAGGGAGGCACCTGTGCCGGCAGCTGTTTGGCATCCATGTTTGTGGTTGATCAAGTGTCGTGGAGCTCAGTATTATGGGGTTTGTTATAGCAAAATGTAGACATCAAGAGCCGATTTATTCCAATGGCCATCAAAGTGTAAGATCACCTGTCACGTCAATGCAAAACTTCTTAGGTAAGTCCTACACGATCAATTAACCTTGCTGTTTTTAGTCAAAAAGCTAAATCTTTAATGAGACAGAGAGAGGTATTTTTCTAAACCCCTACACACTTATTAACCCATAATATGGAACACATTGTCTGGGCAGCAACACTGTAGCATGTCTGTGAAACACACAAAATCAAATACAAACGTACAAAATTGAGGGGGTTTCACCTTGACGTGGCAGGTGAGCTTACACTTAAATGGCCATTGGACTGGTACTAAAAATCTCCATTTATTTAAATGTGCGTAGGGATTTGGGATAGTGCACAAGTACCTTTTTTCTTTGTTTTTTCTTGTATGTATTTGGGATGATGTGTACTATAGTCATTGCTGCTGACCTGGAGTATTGGGATGTTTGTAATTCTTGATTTTAGCCTCAATTTTGTGATTTGGTTTTCAATTCAAATCATTTTTTTGTGAATAAAGAAACACCATAACAGTAGGAATGCAAACACGTGTTCCTGCTGCTCTAGGTTTACCCCATCTTTTTTGATGTTCTGTAGGAGCCGCATTTGATTGAAAAATGATTCTTCCTGACAGCCACTAAAGGTGTGTTAACCCTGCAAGCGTATCTCCAAAATGGCAATGTTTTTTACGTTGCAGGGTTAAAATGAAAGACCAATTCTAGTTCACTGAGCAGAAGTGGTCTGCATTTTTTTATTGGTCATTTAAGTTCTATAGGTCTGCTTTCTGTTTGACTAGCAGAACTTGTAGAACTGTATAAGTTAACTCTTTAATGCTTGTTGTTATGTATTCCCTTTAACAATTCCCCCAAGGCCATCTCATGACAATCTGGCATATTTTTTGTGTTTTATCGCTTCTGTTCATAATGTGACCGATCAGATTATTCTCAAGAAAAGAGACATGGTAACATAGTTTGAATATATTTACCAAAATTGATTGAAATCCATGTGTGTGAAACACCAAACACATTCCACAGTATTCTAATCGCGTGTTGGTCAGCGCTTATAGATAGAATGGGGCACGTTGGCACAGTATTCTAATCGCGTGTTGGTTAGTGTTTATAGATAGAATGGGGCACATTGACACAGTATTCTAATCGCGTGTTGGTCAGTGTTAATAGAATGGGGCATGTTGGCACAGTATTCTGATCGCGTGTTGGTCAGTGTTTATAGATAGAATGGGGCACGTTGGCACAGTATTCTGATCGCGTGTTGGTCAGTGTTTATAGATAGAATGGGGCACGTTGGCACAGTATTCTAATCGGGTGTTGGTCAGTGTTTATAGATAGAATGGGGCACGTTGGCACAGTATTCTAATCGCGTGTTGGTCAGTGTTTATAGATAGAATGGGGCGCGTTGGCACAGTATTCTGATCGCGTGTTGGTCAATGTTTATAGATAGAATGGGGCACGTTGGTACAGTATTCTAATCGCGTGTTGGTCAGTGTTTATAGATAGAATAGGGCACGTTGGCACAGTATTCTAATCGCGTGTTGGTCAGTGTTTATAGATAGAATGGGGCACGTTGGCACAGTATTCTAATCGCGTGTTGATCAGTGTTTATAGATAGAATGGGGCACATTGGCACAGTATTCTAATCACGTGTTGGTCAGTGTTTATAGATAGAATAGGGCGCGTTGGCACAGTATTCTAATCACAAGTTGGTCAGTGTTTATAGATAGAATAGGGCGCGTTGGCACAGTATTCTAATCACAAGTTGGTCAGTGTTTATAGATCGAATAGGGCGCGTTGGCACAGTATTCTAATCACGTGTTGGTCAGTGTTTCTAGATAGAATGGGGCACATTGACACAGTATTCTAATCGCGTGTTGGTCAGTGTTTATAGATAGAATGGGGCGCGTTGGCACAGTATTCTAATCGCGTGTTGGTCAGTGTTTATAGATAGAATGGGGCACGTTGGCACAGTATTCTAATCGCGTGTTGGTCAGTGTTTATAGATAGAATGGGGCACATTGACACAGTATTCTAATCGCGTGTTGGTCAGTGTTTATAGGTAGAATGGGGCGCGTTGGCACAGTATTCTAATCGCGTGTTGGTCAGTGTTTATAGATAGAATGGGGCACGTTGGCACAGTATTCTAATCGGGTGTTGGTCAGTGTTTATAGATAGAATGGGGCACGTTGGCACAGTATTCTGATCACGTGTTGGTCAGTGTTTATAGATAGAATGGGGCACGTTGGCACAGTATTCTAATCGGGTGTTGGTCAGTGTTTATAGATAGAATGGGGCACGTTGGCACAGTATTCTAATCGCGTGTTGGTCAGTGTTTATAGATAGAATGGGGCGCGTTGGCACAGTATTCTGATCGCGTGTTGGTCAATGTTTATAGATAGAATGGGGCACGTTGGTACAGTATTCTAATCGCGTGTTGGTCAGTGTTTATAGATAGAATAGGGCACGTTGGCACAGTATTCTAATCGCGTGTTGGTCAGTGTTTATAGATAGAATGGGGCACATTGGCACAGTATTCTAATTGCGTGTTGGTCAGTGTTTATAGATAGAATAGGGCGCGTTGGCACAGTATTCTAATCACAAGTTGGTCAGTGTTTATAGATAGAATAGGGCGCGTTGGCACAGTATTCTAATCACAAGTTGGTCAGTGTTTATAGATCGAATAGGGCGCGTTGGCACAGTATTCTAATCACGTGTTGGTCAGTGTTTCTAGATAGAATGGGGCACATTGACACAGTATTCTAATCGCGTGTTGGTCAGTGTTTATAGATAGAATGGGGCGCGTTGGCACAGTATTCTAATCGCGTGTTGGTCAGTGTTTATAGATAGAATGGGGCACGTTGGCACAGTATTCTAATCGCGTGTTGATCAGTGTTTATAGATAGAATGGGGCACATTGACACAGTATTCTAATCGCGTGTTGGTCAGTGTTTATAGGTAGAATGGGGCACGTTGGCACAGTATTCTAATCGCGTGTTGGTCAGTGTTTATAGATAGAATGGGGCACGTTGGCACAGTATTCTAATCGCGTGTTGGTCAGTGTTTATAGATAGAATGGGGCGCGTTGGCACAGTATTCTGATCGCGTGTTGGTCAGTGTTTATAGATAGAATGGGGCACGTTGGTACAGTATTCTAATCGCGTGTTGGTCAGTGTTTATAGATAGAATAGGGCACGTTGGCACAGTATTCTAATCGCGTGTTGGTCAGTGTTTATAGATAGAATGGGGCACATTGGCACAGTATTCTAATTGCGTGTTGGTCAGTGTTTAT